GTTGTCGTGAGTGAGAGTGCCGCGTGGTTGTATGAGCCATACACATGATATTTTGGCACAAAGCAGCTTGAGTTTCTGGTGAAAGCACGATTTTGACTTGCCTAAAACGCTCCAAAAGTGTGCGATGATGTAACGTTTTGGAAAGAGGCCCAGCTCTACGACTATTCTGGCCAAACAGATGACTGTAGTATCAATTACCAACATTTAACTTACCAATGAATCTGGATTGACCTGACAGGCCATTGGAGTATGATATGATTGCAATTATTATTTAACATTTGTTTAAGCAGATATAATTACAATCCAAGCATAATAGAGAATTAAGTGGCATTAGTTTATACAGTGTGGGTCTTGTGGTTCAGTTGTAAGCACATTGCGTGATGAACCTGGTGACCAAGGTTTGATCAGGGTCAACATCAGTGGCAAATTGTATCTGAACTGATCCTGCATGTCCCTTTTGCCCCTTCACCAACCCATACCGAGGAATGTGGTGAAGTATGGTCAAACAATCCCATGTGAGGCCAACTGAGCGATGTAGCTCTTTTTCAGAAGCCACCTGGCCATGAATGATAGCTCAACGAAGTGGCTTATCATGTGGAAATGTATAGCAGCCAAATACTCTAAACACCGTGGCTTGGTCTATATTAAGCAGTACATGCACAAGTGAAGTTTACTTGTACTCGTTATTCTAAAATGCAAAACAATAAGTGCACACCATTTATGTTCGTTGCATGGCTTAAGCAAATCAGTGCCAATGCTGGAAACCGTTGTCAAAATGTGGGGTTTTCAGGCCGATTGAACTTTTACTTAGCATTTCTCCTGTAACGAAGCTTTCATTAAAAACGCGCTGCACGTTTCGTTTAAGAATGCAGACACCGTCTTGAAATCCACCCCCCTCTCTCCTTCCCAAAATGCCTCGGGTGATTGGATGCTGGAAGCACGGTTACAGCGAGCTGCGCAGGTGCAATAATGTACAGGTGTCTTTATTAGCGGTACAAGACAGTTTGTACTGCTGTGTTAAATAAGTCTCAGAATCAATAACAGATTTACTTATAATGCCGTGGAGGCAGCTGAGCCCCATAAAGGTGTCTGAAGTGTTTTACTGCATCCATTATGCTCGTCCATGTGCAAACCCCGCCGAGTTTTACTGCCACCTCATCCCGCTGCAGGGACCCCTTACCCTCAGCACCCCGGCAAGCACCGGATATTATTTGGTATTATTTTAATTATGCAGTTCGTCTCCATACATAATTTACTGGTAATTAGTGCAGTTTACTTATACTCGTTGCAGTGTAATGCTTCTCTGTAATTACATTCTCATTTTTACTGCATTATTTGGTTCGGGAATGCATTTCGATTCGCTATTTGTTTTATTTGTGCTATTTATAACTACCCAGAAGCTGGACTATGCGATATTTTAACAAACACTCGTAGAGCATTATTTAAAAACCCAAAATGTTTGGGTTATTTTACAATGTGAATGCAGAGGTCAGTGTTTCGCACGCTTTATAACAAGATATTATCGAATCACAAAATATGTAATTTTACTGTTATCCATATTTACATTCATTTATTTCAGGACATGCATATGCGTCAATGGAAGTAAATATGTTCCAGATGTGTGGGTTAAGGCTACCATTCTAATTCTGTCATACACACAGTTACCTCAATGTGATTCATGCGGTCTCCAGAGAGATCACAAAGCAGCTCCAGTGATACATGCATTTGAAACCGTATCTTGCTCTGCCCGTGCTATTATTATATCACTTGTGTACCAAGAGCATTGCTGCCAAATTTAGATGGCGTTTTACGGTCACAGACTCACTTATGCACACTGTTTAAAAACTTTTACTTGACATGTTCTCAATTACTCACCTCTGACTTAATATCTCAAAATGCATAAAGTATGTGCATTGTAGGCTTGGTCTGGTCAAGGTACATGTACTAAGTTACACTACATATATGTGTATACACGTATGAATATGTATCAGACATTGGTGCAGCCATAGTAATCTCTTGGCTTATCATAAAACCACATGTCTTATACAAACTTTGCAGATGTTGAGGTATTCACCATTATTGTTAATATTTGTTTTAAATGAAGCAAGTATTCCATTATTTGTCATGAACATGACAGTAAGCTGTTTTTTTTTCCCTTCCTATTCAACCCATGCTAACTCGAAGCAGCGTCATACTAAATAAATTATTGTTCTGCCAATCTTCTCATGAGCCGACGCTATAAGTTTTTCCAGATGTCACCAGAAACCTTGAGGTGAGGTCAAATAATTAATGTGCCTATGCTGAGGTCGTCTGCCTCCATTAAGCCAACCTTGGAGACAATTTAGCAGGTTACTTAAAAAGGGGGTGAGGCAGAAAAAATCCTGACAATGAGCTATCAGCACATGGGGGGGGGGGGGGTGAAAGCTACCACAAATCTTCTTCCACATTCACATGATAAAAAAATCCTAGCTTGTGCGTTACATGACAGTGCATTTGCAGCGATGACTTATTAGTCAGCATGATCTTTCATGCCGAGTCCAAGCTAAAGGGGGGGCCAGTCATTTTTATTGAAGCTGTTAGAGCAGTTTTTCATGTTAGTTTGAAATGAAATTACTTTGCGATATAGAGCTGTGTCTAAGCTGTCGCTATACATCAGCCAGACTGGGGAGTCAGTCCCATGGTGGTCTGTGCTATTTTTTTCTTCTTTTTTGTGCCGTACCCTTGGATACAATGCAATTCTTGCAGCTTGCATTTCACCGTTTTTTAGGACGGCACATGCTTGCGTCTATGTCGGTTATATTCACAATGACGAATGCGGCTTAACAGGAAGAATTCCTTGCAAAATTACTCGCGCAGTCGATATACAAGAGAGCATTCAATATGGCGCTAGAGAATGCAGGCTTTGGAGATGACGCACAGTCGGTACTGCTGTTGCAGTGAATGTCCACTTATTGGAGTGAACATTAAACATGCACTTCACCATGAGCAATATGAGAATTGGCGCTCTAGCATTCTTACCGGTTGAACAAAAACATATAAACCTGAAGTCGTAACATTTATAATAATGACCCCATTTTGTGCTGTGCGAAAGGCGTGTAAGTTGGGAAATGGCTTTTCAGCCGTGCAATTGAGTAATATTTCTTTCAGAATAACACAACCTGATACCAAAAGTGATCTGTCCTTCCAACAAAATAATAATTGATTCCTACAGATACATACGATTACTCGAGTTATTACACGGCGTGGGGAAAAAAATAAATAAAAAGAATGTGCACAAGGACGTGACCAAAATACCCCCACCCATAGAGGTATTGTTTCCAAAACATTGTTGCTGGCATCACTTTTCACTCTGTATTTATTGGCATCAAGGTTACCCTGCCTCACGAGATAGGACGGCTTGCCAAGGGGGTGTCATATAGTGTTGCACATCCAAGTAGTTTGCAGGCATGCTCCGTTTGCAGTTGTTGACAGCTGTTGGTTGTGTTTGGTGACTTCCTTGTGGCACAGGAAATTTAAGAAATTGAGTCGACGTGTTGGAGAATATACATTAAATATCACATCTGCATAAAGTCATGGTAGTGTATGCAATTCTGGGCAGCGTGCAAATGTGTTTTTACGTTTTAATGCTAATTGCAATTATAGCTTTATTTATTGGTGATTTCGAAAAGTTTTTTTGGGTTGGACATGTTTGTTTTGTTGTAGTACGGAGTTAGACTGATGGCCTTAATCTAAGTTTTCTTGTGGTTGTTGTTGTTTGACTTGCATCCCACTGGGATTTTTTGCACACAGCGTTGGTGTACGGTGCTTTTTTCAGGAATATTTTGCTGTTTTTTTCCATGGATTTTCTCTTTGCATAGTCACATAGTCACTTTAAGATGTTTTTCGTGTTTTTGTTTGTTGTGGTTGCACCCGATTCAAGAGCCGAATGGCTCACAGGGCTATACCAAAATAAATAAACTGAAAAACTAAAACTGAAACTGCTGCAGTTTATTTGGTTTTTATTATATATGAATACAAAGAAATCTTCCCTTAGGTCTAGATCTGCTTGAAACCCTTTACAAACACTTAAAAGCCAACATGCTGTGGCCATAATAACTTTGAGAGTTCTACTTGTAATGGGGATTTTATCTTGCTAAATCACTGTCGTTAATAACTCATATTAACCATAACATGCTTCAGCCTGAAGGCAGAATGTTCTTTTCTCTTCACACGTCTTCAGAACTAATCTCATACATAGTTTCCACTAAGCATGCAGAATACTGAATTATTTTATTATTTTATCTTTAACACGTAGGCTTTCACAACCAATAGACTCCATGAGGTTTTTTTGGGTTAGATCGCAATCTATTATGTATCTTATCTTGCTTTACAATTTCTTTTTTACAAAATTATAACGCTCAAATCATGGTACAGAACCATATGGGATTAAAAAAAAATGTAAAAAATTGTAATGCAAATAAAAAACATCATTAATGTTATTGTTGTATATAATAAATAGCAATGCATTCTATGCAGAAATAAGACATCTAAAACGTATATTTCTGCTTGGAGGGCATCAAGAGCAACTCAATGATGTGGTGTAATTCAGAACCCATGGGTGGTACATGGATGGTAAACAAAAAAAGTAGGCTTGCTATGAACTATTCACAAAGCCCCGATAGCTCGCAGTGGGATTTTTATAGTTAAAAAAAATTCAGCATTCGGGGCGATAGCAGTTTAAATAAAAAAAAATACAAATGTGCTTTTGTGGTGATGACACACAAGCAAATGTGATGATAAAAATACCAATTTAGCAGAAAACTTTTTGAGCAGATCAAGGGCAGAACATTATGTTTTGTCAAACGTATATTGGGCATAATATGTCACTTGTAATTTGTTTTCACCTACATATATTTTTTTACAATATGTCAAGCGAATATAAAAAAATCTAGCACTTTGTGTAAGTACGCAGGTTCACAGGTCATGTGCTCATGGCAGTGCTTGCTATCGTTTGCCGGCAGTGTGCAGCGGAACGGAGAACAAGCTCAGCGCAAGTGCCACGCGCGAGCTTCAGTACCAGACACTGCGCAAGATCTACGAGCACTGTGAGGTCGTGCTGGGAAACCTCGAGATCACCAACATTGGGCCCGACAAAGACCTCAGCTTCCTGCGGGTGAGAGAGACCTTGGGGCAGGATGGCCTTCCGGGTTTCGCCTCGATGCCGAGATGACCTTCGTCGCAGAATCTTGGTCTGAGCTCGGTTTCCTTTGCACAAACAAGGCTCTGATTTTGTTGAAGTCAGGAATGCCTGTATTTGTGGACTATGCAGGATTAGGTCAATCCATTGAGGTTCCTGCACTGGTGCCTCTACATTTGGACAGAAAAGTACTGCACATTAATATTTGTGGTCGGGTTCGTGGCATCTTTTTCATGACATCTTCTTTTTATGAATGCAGATGTGGAAAGAAATGAGGCCATTATTAAAAAGATGAATGCATGCATGAATAGTTAATGTAGCAGTGTAGTATACATGCACATTATGTTGAATGCTGTGAATTTTTTTTAAGTTAGCTGACTACATTATTTTTATGCTGAAAATGCTTAACACTCTTTTATATATATGGATCATAAAACTATTTAAATTTATATTACATCTTAAATGTGCTGCTATAAATGACACATTTCATAATTAGTACACCAGTTGTACAACACATGTTCGCATGTTTTTTTTTACATTTTAACACGTTAAACCACTTCTGCATGTTATTTATGGCTTTGGTATGCATAAAATATTCATAATTTTTTTCTCTAACCACAGTGCAGCACAATTCTACTGAAATGCCAATATGAAATGAAATATTTCACCATGAATTTATTTCCAATGCAAATTACTATTATTTTATGATGGAATGACAAGACATATGCGTGTATAGAGGGTGTGAAAACAGCTTTACATATGCCTGACAATAGCGTATTTATCTCAGCTTTCCAAGGATTTTATCAACACTGCAGCTTGGGCTCGAAGACAAGTGTCGTGTTAATGCTATTAAGCTTCAGAAATGTTTTTGTTTCTCATTTATTAAATTAAGAATTACAGGCTTTTGTCAAACCATTGCTGAATATTTCACATTCTTTATCCAAAAGTGACTAAATAATGGCTGGTGGGGTTTTTCCCCCAACATAAATTCCTTTAGTTTATCTACTATCTGCACCCTGCCACAAACACATCATCATACATCATTTCGAGTTCTACTGTAGCTGCAAATACAGTACTTAATGATATTTTTGTTACACATCAATATGCACACACGTTGATGAATTTGACCAAAGTGTATCAAACGTGTGCAAGTTAACACTCAACATAATAGAAAAAAAACTTGCCCATAGATGAACTGCAGGAAAAGCTTGATAACTGTATTTTGATTACGTTAACTACATTATCATATTATTATGAGAAAGCAAAAGTCACGTACAATGAGTTTGCTAAACAAAATCAATAGTGGCCGCACACAACTGGGAAACACAGCAAATATGTACGGTATATCGAGGGAAATTAGTGATGGCAGGACAGAGGGCATTTGGATTGCTGGATTGATAATGAAAAATTATAAAGTTGTCGATCATTGCATATAAACCATGACGGATCAGAAACGTAGATAATGACAAAAACCTGAAGAGTCCACAAGAAAGCCTGCTTAGAATTTAAATTGAGGGTCAGTGGAGGAACACATAAAGGAGGAACGAAACACACGTGATGAACGTCATATTAACCTGTAAGGAATGTAAGTTAGCTTGAGCAGGACACAATCCTGGTGATGGAATGTGAGTCATTCAAAGCAGAGAGCATGCTCAGATGGATCACCGTGGCGATGGCGTGATGAGATCAGCTCATGTGCAAGAGCGAGATGGATTGTGGCATCGCAAAATGAGAAATGGTGATGACGTGGGGAGGACTTCGTCTCACCAGTGGCTAGAACATGGCTGATGTTGCTTACAGTCATCATCATCATATTAAAAACATGTATATGCATGTTTACCTTTAGAGCTTATTGAAATGTTTAAGTTTAAAAATTGTATCATATCCATGAGCTAGTGTTCATTGTGCCACGAAAATTCTAAAAAGAAAAGTTGCATTTCATGCACATTAAATAGTACAAAGGTTGGTGCTCATTCCCTTACCAGCTGGCATTGTGTGCCTTGCCGTGACCTTGGGTTGATCCACCTGATGAATGAGCCATGCGTGAGCATTCTATAACACCAGTTTCTGAGAAGTTTAAAACATTGCATTCGACACAGACACACATGGTGAAGGGCTCAGACCACATATGCCTATGACTGTGGTTAATGCGATTTTGCAGGGCTCTGGTGTCGACTTACACAATGCCTTTGGCATCTTTAAACTATACATAGAAGTCTACTTTGGAATATGTTGGATACAAATCCTGTACTACCACAGTATTAGAAAAATATGAATGAAGGTTATTACTGTTAAACTATTGTTCTGTAGCTAGGGAGATATCTCATTCCAAATCAGAGCGACCATGTACTGTTATTTTTTTGCAATTATCTTGAATCATAGACTTCATCAACAGCAAAAATAGACAGTTTTGAGTTTTTTTGGCCAGACCAACACCAATGAGTTTGGTTTCGTATTGCAGCAGACACATCACTCAATGTTACGGGTTGCATTTCCATGTGTGAGCCAACATGTTACACACTATTTTAAAACGGACTATGAGAATACATTATTTGTGCCCCAATGTTATTTTATTGTGACTTTTTAATGTTTGGTTTTCTGAAACAAAGGACAATTGTTTCCACACTTTTGCCCTTGAGCCTTAATTTACTTGCAGCTATTGCTAAGTTCTCCATTCTTAGCACTTCCCTCAAATCTTTAGACCACTTTTAGCATAAAAAAATCACTCATATATGTAAAGTGTAACTTTTTTTAAATCAAAATTTATCTACCGAAATCAAATTTAACGTTGAAATTGCTCGGATTTTTTTGGTTTGAAAGATGTGACGTTGTAGTCATCTGATAATCCATTACCAAGGTTATAGGTTTAAATAATAATAATTGCTCTTATCTTTTGCAATTAAAAATAAAGATAGGACTGTTGCATTACTAAATTGCCATCTCAAGGACGTATTGTTCCAGTGGTAAAGGTCTAAAGCGCTACAACAATAATGATGCAGACATTTGGTTGCCATGTGTACAGTGTAAACATGACACACTACTTTGCCAAAAAGTTGCCTCTTTTTCAGCATTAGTTCTCTTCATTACTTGGCTTTAAAGTAGATGGATAAAACACATGAAATCTGTCTATAGTTACTGTTGGGTATGATTATGGGCTATAAAATGACTAATTGGTTGTCATTATCACAGCATCAATTTGATCAATCATACTGTTTCACCAATTGTCAATACAAAATACGTACTTACTAAAATAAAAATGAAGAAACACATATCTTCTTGGTTCTTTCGGTAAAGTCACGTAGAATGAGAATAAAACAATAAAACAAAATAAGACAATAAAATTCTCACGACGTTTCGGCCACAACACAAGTAGCCTTCTTCACAAGAAACACGTAGTTTAACATGGATGTCAGAAAATAATGTATTGACCAGACCTGATCTATGTATTATGTTGCAATTTGTTTGTAATCGTGCATAGGTTTAATTTTGATTGCATGAGTGCAGATGTTATAGAGACGGCATATTTTGACAGGAACAACACCATAGGTGTCATGTTACATTCATTTATCGCTTGCTTTCAATTCAGCATGCCATTTTATTTACAAGTGTAGTGACATCGCGGGATGTCAACGTTCAGTTCCGGCTCTAGAGCGGCACGGCGTGCAGTGTAACAACATTGCAGATACCACAAGGGTGTGGGTGTAGTACCGGCCCTAGAGGGGCCCAGTGAGTGCTGATTGAGAGCGCTAGATGGCACCACGCTTGGCGTGCAGTGCCAACCCTACAGGACAGGGTGTGGGAGTGCCGGCCATAGGATGAGGTTACTAAAAGGCCATGGCACTTTGGTTGACCCGGAAGGACACGTAACCAGTTAAGTCTACAAAGGGGCCCCAAGTGGGAGCTAGGGATGGTCACGTGGTTGGGATCCAGATCCTTCTCGAGGATTTTGGAAGGTGGTCGTGGCCAAGGGCGGAGCCAGCCACGCCGCAGAGAATATAAGCCGGGTCCCAAAAGGGACCAGGGTTGTTCATTCTGGAAGAAACCTTCGTCAGCGTTCTCCGTTCAACGTGTCTCCAACACGTGGACCTGGACCCAAGCTGTGGTCCTGGTCCGTAGTAGCAGTTATGTTGTAATTAGTGTAGCTAGCCTGGTGGTCACCACTATAGGTTGCTATTCTGTTAAGGGGAAAGTTACCCCGTGTGTTGGAGTTGAATAAATGTGTTGCCTCCAAGTCTATGTCTGCGACTCAGTTGAATTCACTACACAAGCAAAAAAAGCAAAAAGTTAAAATACTTAAGCTAGAAGCAAATATTTCATCAGCTGACTTTAAAAACCAAAAAGTTTAAACCACACACTCTCTGACGAATGCCACAAGGACAAAAAAACCCACTAACATTGTGACAAGCAATTACATTGGTTGCAGAATACATTATATTGGGTATGAGATTTGCATGCAAGAATGCATAAAACAGAATTGTGAGATATTTGTTTTTTGTCAAAAAAATTAAAGTTAATAGTCAGAGGATCTCTGTGACAGGGGCGGGGGGAGTGGTGGTGGCCTTAAATATGGTGTGGAAACTGAAATGAGGTCCACACATAGACAAATAGAAAACCAATCTTGCTCCAGATTATAACATAATCCATAGTTATTGTTATATAATTGCAATACCTCCCGCCTCCTTCTGCTCTCTGCACCCTGCACCTGATTAGCTCACCGTGATGACGTCATATTGCTCTATTATAAGACCAGAAGCAGGTAGCACTCGTCACAATTCTGGCAAAATAGTTTGGTGATTCTGGTCATAATCACCAGCAAAACTTTGCACCCAAATTGTAAATGTTGTAGATTTACTATCCAGTGCATCGGTGGGCTGAAGTAGTAACTAATTGACACCTTTTATTTACATGACAAACCTAACTAATTGACTGTGTCGGGTGGTGGCGGGTTAACGACACATTTATACTTATGTAGTGTGTTAACTTAGGTGCACGCTTGTACTTGGAGGCAACACGTTTATTTAACACAACGGGTAACTCTAACAGAATACCAGCATAAGGTGGTGACCACCACGACTAACTAAACTGACACTTTGGAGAGACAATTCTATAGTCGGACCAGAACAGCTAACTGGCTGCCTGGTCCATGCGTGAAGACCGGAGACCGAGGACCGAGGATCGAGGATGGCGACTTCATTCCCAGAGTTGAACGCCCCGATCCCCCCTCGGGACCTCGCTTATAACTCCCCTGGCGTGACCGGATCCGCCCTGGCCACGCCTCTGGATTCCCATCACATGATCCTCTCACCCCCGAATGGGGCCCCCCTGCCCCCCACTCGTCCGGTCACGTACCCTCCCGTGTTCACCTCGCTGTCAATCCTGACGCGACCCCCTTCTCAGCGACACCCGGGCTCCGCCCTATCAGTACCACCCCTCACTCAGCACTGTCTCTACACGGCGGTGGCCCCATTGAGGCCACCACACTTACGTGCTCTAACCCAAAAACACTCTTTATTATAGAGAAATATATCTGCGTCTCCCTTATGTTGATTGTTTTATCCAGCTATTAAGCCTGTTGAACTCTGAAAATTTGTTTGGTAGTTTTGCAACATGGCTAAATGGTTATTAAGACACTTTTAATAATACAGCAGCATTTGTTGTTGTTAATGAATGACATATATTGAAATGTGTTCTGTTGTTACCATGCTTCCCTTGTCCATTGACTGGGATATTTTACTTTAAATGCATTGCAATGTAATGTAAATAGTCTATTAAGAAACGCAAACTCGTGCTAAAGCATCTCTAATGCGCGTCACTGTCTCGTCACGCTATGTTAATTCAATTAATTTTAAGGCATCTTGAAGTGGTTGGAGCTCAAGGTTTTTGTTCTTGAGTTTGTCGGGTTGAGAATTCCATTAGACAGTGAGTTTATATATATAAAAAAACCTTGTTGAATGTATCCCATGAATGTTTCTTATTCGTAGCCCAAAATATATATAAATACATTCATTGAGAGATTTTCGCTCTATACTGCGCGAATAGCAGATGCGTTCCAAGAAAAGGGCGCCCAATGCAAAACCGCCGTACAAGGAAACAGCTGCCTGCCGACTAGCTTACACAGTACGCACAGTACACATGCAGTACACACAGTACACATACAGTAAGCACACATTACACACAGAGTACACACACAGTGTTGTCCCATGTCCGACCGCGTAGCCGCATGTAGAGTGAATTCAAACCGCATACAGCGAATGTTGGGTGGAAATAGGTTATCTGCATATACACGAAATCGCACAAACTGTACCTCCGTAAAGTGAGGAAAACCTGTATGTTGCACCAAAAACATTGTCCTTTAAGTGTAGATTATGAAGATAATTTGCTGTGAACTAGACATGGGAACAGATGTGTACAATCATATTTTTACTTCCTCTGTGGACTTGCCCTTTGATTTATCTACCGTGTGATGGCTACACATCCACACGCATTGACAACATTAATATTAACGTAAGCTCCTGTTTTTTCTGGGGTTTTCTGTGTTCGCTGCAGACTATTCACGAGGTGTCGGGCTACGTGCTCATCGCCATTAATGAGTTTGAGCACCTGCCGCTGGAGAACCTGCGAATCATCCGAGGCACCAAGCTCTATGAAGACAAGTATGCGCTGAGTGTCTTCCTCAACTACCGCAAGCACAGTACCAACCGTAACGGGCTCAAGGAGCTGCGTCTGCACAACCTAACAGGTGAGTGCTTAGACAACTGCAGTGCAGCTGCCAGGCACGGTGGGTGCCACATTTTCTCCTTTATTGTTTGTCTCCAGGAGCTTTATAGGCTAAGGCATCCATGGTGGCAGGACCACACAAATGTTTAGACTTGGTACTGCATTCATTAAGTGGCCCTTGCCAATATTCTGTTTGGGAACTAAAGGGAGAATGATGTCTGACACTTCACGATGTATTGGTCCTGCCTGGGTTGTTATTCAACACACGGGTTTAATAACCACGGTGATGGAGTTCAGGGTTAAACAATGGCAGTGCTTCAGGCTTGGATGCAGTCCATCTTTTCACATTTGCTAACCTTTATTCACATGCCAAATGGATAACAAACTAAATTACACACCCACAATGATTTGATCATGTGAAAAAATGTTCAGTCTATTCCTTGTAGTCTTGTGTTAGTCATATGATGTAAGAATTCAATAATAATATTTTTTTATATAATGCTTTGCCTCTGGTGGTCTTTACGTTGTTTAACTCTGTACGTCAAATGTAGACTGCTCACATAAATTAAATTATTTAGAACTGTGCACTCAAATAAAGAATAAATATTTATGTGTAAAGTGTTTAACACGTAGGTTTTCGTGACCAATGTCATCCATAATATAGGCATTTGGGTTAGATTGCGTGAATATAAATCTGTTGTTAAACCCGCCACCACCCGACACAGCCAGTTAGTAAGGTTTGTCACATAAACAGAACATGCCAATTCGTTACTAGTACAGCACACCGGTGTGTTGGAGAGAAAATTCACAACATTTCCAATCTGAGTATGACGTTTTGCCAGTAAACGCCAGTAATCGGCATCATCAGGCTGGCGAAACATCGTACTCACATTGTGGATGCTCTCTCCAACACACCAGTGTGCTGTACTAGTAACGAATTGGCATGTTTTGTTTACGTTACAAACCTTATAATTGGCCGTGTCGGGTGGTGGCGGTTTTAACGACATTGTATTATGGGTGGAAAGTGTTGTCTCATAAATTTAGCATTGCTAATTGTGTTCAGTGTATCACATCTAAAACATTGCCTGACATATTGTACATAACTCGAGCATTTCAGAGATTACTGATCTCGGTAGCCATCCAATAAATTCCTGTAAATGACGTTGTGCCCATTGATGACAATGGACAGAATGTATTTTAAAAGCTGTGTTACTTGTTCATATGTTTGCTACAACAATGCCACCAGGAATCTAGTTTTTCATCACATTTAGTATAATCCCACAGGGTTAGAGGACATGGTGCAAAGTAGGCTTTTGTTGTCTGCCCATGGCACATCATTTACCCCACCCTGTACCCAGAATTCCTCACTTTCTTCCCTGCATAGTGGATTGGTACAGCATGGGCTAAGCCACCTTAGCCTAAAAAAAGGACAAAATGTGGTCACAGCACACATTCTATTAGCCTTGTCAAAGTGAACTATCGTAAAACAATACAATTATGCAAAAATTGTATCTGCAATAAAAGCACACGCATCACTGGGAATTGGCATGAATTAATTTAGTGTTTGGTTTACTTTATATCTGAACTGAGAATGGATATATAATTTCATGAATTATTGATCAAATTTGTGGCAATGGAAATATATCATAACTTTGCTTTATAAAAGTGATTAACTTTGAAGCATAAGTATATAAATAAAATACCCTTTGCAATGCTGAGGCAATCAGAAAGACTGCAACTCAGTCATGCATTTTATGTTATCTTATTCATACATGTTTTGTTGGAATTTCCATTATACCACCATCAAAATGTTGTAATATTCCAGAGAGATCTTCCCACAATCTAAATTATGTATCATTACTAATTAAAGCCATTGTCAGTTATGATCAATCCACTGCTTGCTGAAGGCCTCATCTGTCACCACCTCTTATGGTCCTGTGATGTAACAAACCAACCTGCACTGACCAGCATTATGAAGCAGCCACATATCTGTCCACCCGAATGGTAGTGGAAAAAAAATGTGTCTATTATAGTTCTGAATGAACCACAATTATTTAGTCTAATAAATTAGAAATCACTGGCAAAGAAATATGATGTCAGAACAATATACTGTGCCTTAAATACAATTGTGATGTAATAATCTATTGTCTGAAACATGAATAGGTTGTCCTATTCATTCATAATAAAGGTTTTTGGGTTAGATCGCGTTTATTTATAAATGTGTCGTAACCCTCCACCTCCAATTCGCCATTTCTGGCGAATTGCCCGATGATGCTGGAAGTATTTACCAGCGAAACGTCGTACTCAAACTGTAAATGTGGATTAACTCTTCAACACACCGGTGGGCTGAAGTGGTGAATTATTTGTCTTTTGTCAACGTGACACTTTTTTTTGCTGATTGGCCGTGTCGGGTGGTGGAGGGTTACGACACATTTATAAATAAATGCGATCTAACCCAAAAACCTTTATTATGAATAATATTGGTCGCGAAAGCCTACGTGTTAAACTGTCCTATTCATGTTTTTAAACAGCTGTCAGTAAACAAGCATGGAAATCAATGCAGCTTCAGCATATTTCAAATGTATATGATGCTTACGCTCGTGTAGTGAGTCACTTCGGAGACACTAATAGCAGGAGGCATACACGTTTATTCCACACTTGTCACAGCATAGGCGATAACTATATATGGATCAGGACAGGCGGCACACTGCCTGACCCAACACCGATGAGGAGGACGAAGACTTTGTAGACGACGGGCTCCATTCCCAAACCGCAGCAGCCCGACCAAGTGTCCGGGCCTCCCTTTTATCCTCCCCAGCATGGACTGGCTCCGCCCTGGGCCACGCCCCCTTCTGGAACCTACCAGAAAGTTCTGGGCTCTGCCCCACGTCTCCCCTCTGTCACCTTTACCCTACATCCGTTACCCCGACCTATCACGTGCCCTACTGGCAGACTGGCTGCTGTATCCTCAAATGCCCCTTCTCTGCCAGCAACCGGCGCTACGTGCTCCAGTGGCACTCTACACCTGCCCTGCTGGTAGACCAGGCTATTACACCCACGATCCCACTCTCTACCAGTAACCAGTGTTATGCGCCATAGTGACGCTTTCTATGTCACTACACTCGTAATTGAAAGTTTTAAGGGTCATGGAACATGGTGCAGAGTAGGCTTTTTTGGCTTTTGGCAGAAATAACACTTACGAAGCTCTTGAGCCGGTAAACTCTGCCTCATTGAAGGAGGTCGATCCTGCATATGACACTGAACACTATACAATCTGTGTACAACATTTTTATAGGTGTATCTTTGTGTCTATATTTATGTTTCCACATTAACTCATATGTCTGTTAGGAGTATGTAATATTGCATGAATTTACGAAGTATTTCCAGACCAGTGCATAACACCTCTGATTAGCATGGTTGGCTACGTATGGTGCAAAAGAAGTTCAACATACGGTGAACCTTAGTTAATTTGACACGTATGGGGCTCTGGCCTTGCCGAATTATCCAATATTCCGAATTATGTACAATGGCACTCCTCAGTGCCTCCTGCCCCAATAAAGAAAAAAACCCGAATTTGTTTTCCAAAAACTTTTTTTCCAAAAATTATTTTCCAAAAAAGTAACACTTACCATCAGTGACCAGGACTGCAGGTGCAGAGGAGGATTTGTAGGTTCCATGTGGTAAGTGACAGAGGTTGTGGAGGGGGACTTAGTATGCACTTACTCTACTGTATGTTAACTTTATCACTAAATTATGACTTAAACACCAAATTACATTAACTTAAACTTCACATGTTTCACTTAACAATTAATGTTTACTTAAAGACTACACTATTTTACACTTTTACACCACATTACTCGCTGTCAAACGACATCAGTTGCTGTGGCACTTGACTGCTGAAAGAGGTGTCTGTGGAAGAATACCCTTGATCCTCTTCAATACCTTTTTAGAGCTGCTAGGATCCTCCAAGGTCAAGGTCTACTTCCTATTCTTCTCCCGGCCTTTATTGGTGTCGTAAAAGGTGCTTGATTTTATGTCAAACTCTTCACACTATACGCATTGACACACCTGCATCAATTCTATCCATAACTTTGGATTTGTCTCGCAGACTAAGGGGTTTTATACTTAAGTCCTTTTCTATTACTTCTTGATGTAGGTGTAGACGACATTTCGGAGAGGGTTGGTTTGCACAGACTGCATCAACAAGGTAAAGTTCAAAGCAACAGGTCTGCACTCACGCTCACCATGCGCTTCGACACTAGACTGAGTCATTGTTTTAGAGTCGCTCCACGTGCATGCCGAAATTGGACCATTCGCCGTGGCGATTTGGCTCATGGCGAATTACTAATTCTGCATATATGCCGAAAGCGCAGCCGTGCCGAATTATCCCCAATTACAAAGTATCAAATACCAAAATAATGAGGTTTTCCTGTACATACATATGTAGAGGAGTAGTACGGGGACGTTACGTCACGCGCACCTTCCGGTGCGATAACGTCATGGGACGTGACGTTATGCGTGCCTTCCGGTGCGATGACGTCACGGGAAGTGACTTCATGCGCGTTTGGCGGGGCGATTACATCATGTCTCCTCTGGATACTTAAGGGGGACCCCGTGACGAAAGCGTGGTCACTGTGGGAGCCCAGGACAGCATACGGTTGAAGAGGCAGCGGTAGAGGTGGCTGCTCTCCCCGGTCGGTCGGTGTTGGCTGATACCCCGGTCCGACTCGGTGGAGAGAGCCCAGGAGCTAGCCGAGCTAGGGACAGACAAGAGTGTGGGGTCGTGTGGAAGGACCCAGCATCGGGCCCCTACCCCTGGGGAGCGTATTCTAACCCCTAATAAAACTTCAGCGCAAGCCCCTAATACAGACCTGCCTCAGCGTCGTCGGTTGGACCTCAACACATACATCACATTGTAGCTTATTCAGAGGATTTGTTTTAGTTTTTTTCTTCTCCATATATTCATCAATACAAACATGTAGTGAGTCCATAACCCTCCACCACCCGACATGGCCAATCAGT